AAATCAAATATTACCTGTTATAAAATGTTTATTTTGTCATAAAACATCATGACTTACTGAGATTAAACCTAACTTGGTCGTTGGAGCATGACCAACGAACTAACGAGGTAAAATATTAGTATTATTGGGATGAGAAATAATGAAATTCTAAGCTATTCCTTTCAAGTACAAATTATTAAGTGATTTATTAAAAAATAATAAAAATAAGAAAAATAAAATAAAATTTGTGATGTTGATCAAAATTTCTTTTGTAGTGCTGTCCAAGCCCAGTAAAGAAGGCCCAATTCTTTGGGCGCCAGTGGCCCAATAAATGACAACATATTTAATTAAAAGATTAATTATTAAAAAATACATTTTTTTTAGAAAATTATAATTATAATTAAAAAAAAGTGGGATATACATGCAGCATTATTTATTTTTAAACCCTCTTTTTTTTTTTTTTTTTTTTTTTTAATTTAGACACCTCACTGTTTTTACTCTTTTCAGATCTACAGCGAAGCTTTTATCAATTTTTAATTTTCGTTCAAATCAATCAAGAGACTAAAACCCTAAGGATTCACCTCTTTCGATTTAGCAATTGAACTTCAAATTATAGCTTAAAAGACCTCGTTTTGTGCGTCTGAAGATCCGCTTACTGAATTCGAAGAGTCAGAAATCGAGAATGAGAGACGGGAAATCAGTAAAGTTCAATGTTCAGCAGCAACAGCAGCAACAAAATCAACAACAGCAGCATCAGAACGGTCATTTCTCTCCTTTTAAATTCGCCAAATTGTTAGATCCCGAGGCTTCGTGGGATAAGGTATCATTAGTTTTTGTAATCGTTGCTATTGATGGTATTGACTTTTGTTCGGTTTAGTTTGGTTAGAACTTGGGTGATTTCTGGGCAATTGCATCCGTGTGAAGTTAGCAGGAGTAAGGTTTAGTTGCTTATAAGAGGGAGTTTAACAACCTCTTAATTTTTCTTTATTGAATTTTTGCAAGCACAATGAACCGAAGCCGGTAGTGTTTTTTCTTTGGGTAGCTTCTATTAGTTTTTTGTGCTTAATTCTGCGAACCGACCTCCGTAAGTTGAGAAATTTAAGTTATTTTCTGTTAAACCAGTTGTCGTCTTTTTCTTCCAGAGAAATTCATGAAACTTCCTTTTCAATGGATAAGTGCATAATTATGAATTTGGTTTTTTATTGTTTGGATTCATGCTTATGAGTTAAGATTTATTTGGGCCAGGATCAATTGGGAGATGTATTGCATTGGATTCGACAAGTTGTGGCACTTGTCTGTGGATTGCTATGGGGTGCCATTCCTGTGGTCGGGGGCTTATGGATTGTCATGTGAGTTGATCTTTGGATTTCTTTTTTTTTTTAGCTCGGTTGACACAATCATTTCTATTGTCAGTTTATCATGTAGCATTTACTTGAATGGTTGGACTAGTGGGGTTGATGGCATGATTTCATTATATTTATAATCATTTGAGATTTTATTAATGACTTAAATAACTGCATATATATAGTAAATTACAGAGTACTATACATGAGAATAAGATAGTTAAGTCTTCATTTTGAATTGCTATTTGCAGACCATATTGACCCTTATTTATTTCGACATATTAGAATCCTTTTTATGTCTTGAATGCATCAGTATCAAGTATTATGTTTGCCTCATTGGTATGGATGTTCAAGGGATCAAGTTCACACATAAATTTTCGTATTTGGTAGAGTAAATACTGGATTACATATACATGACCAACAAGATTTGAAATGTTGCCCTCCCTAGAGGAAGCAAAGGCAGTTGGGCTAGTACCATGAATGACCAAGAAATAACTCCTCAAAAGTCAAATTAAAGAAGATCCTTTTAAGATCAAACAATTCCATTGAATTGATTGTATGTGTAGTAGCATCTACGATACTAAAAATTATCTAGTGACCTGATTATTGCGATTTCTTAGGATTGTTTGTTTTAGCTTCTAGTTAAGCTTGTATAATCTATCTTTTAATTCAAGATCCCTTGTACTAGTACTAATCCGAATCAAAGAATTATTAATTTGTTTATGCTCAAAACGAGAATGGGCTAAGGCCAAGGGTGTGTGTTGCAAAGGAAACATGCTTGAAGTAGTAGGTATCTAAAATTACTTCAAGTACTTAGTTCTTGATTTAGAAAAAGAAATTCCATATATTACTAATTATATTTAGCAGCTATTCATATGTACATGCACACACATATAAATATATATATGACTAAACAGGGAATTGAACATACGAAGAAGATGATGAATGCATAAAAAGTCACTGAATGGTGCTTTTTTTTTTCTTCAGACAGTTATTTATTAGCATTTAATAAGGAACCTGCTAGTTACATTCCCAAATAAGTAAATTAAAACATGATGCTAAAAGCTGCTTATAACAAACACCTAATAAGTTGAGCCAACAGCCCTTTAACTGACTACAGAAGCTTTATCTACTTTGTAAAACAAGCATTTTGGTATAATTTCTGGGCCTATGGTTGTCTTGGTTGCTTCATTGAAAAAACTTGAGTTGTCATTGTGTGTAGTTTGGAATTTTTCTTCACTCAAGGTAACATTCATGCATCTTGTTTTCTTTTTCAGTAGTATTTTTGAGTTAGAAGTTCTTATGGAAAGATGAATAGATAATTGAGGACTCAGTGGGAAAGTACATTGATAGTTGGATTGAGGGGTTGTATGCCTTTCATTTATTAATGGTACTCACCTGCAATCATGGAGGTGTTACAGTTTCGCATCTTTTACTTTCCAAAGACTGAGGGATTGACAAGTTGATATTATGTTGACATAATTCTTATTTATTCCTTAACTTTGCATATGGAAAATTGGTAATTCATTTTTACATGAGTTTAAACAAATTCGTTTATGATGAGCCACTCCTCTGATATTTATTCTCATCAACAGAGATAGAAGTAATTAAAGAGGTATAATAAAAAAGGGAGGAGGGATGGTAAAACATTTACATGCTGAACTAGAATAGCATATACAGTAGTAAATGGTGGTCTGACAACAAATGGATCCTGATATTGAAGTAGCATATTTTGGAAAAATGGAAGCATTCCTACTCATTTAGATTCTTTTAGAACAACTGATTTCTTTCAAAACAACCCTCTTATATTTGTAAATCAGTGTTTGTCATGGGAGACCTGGTGTTAAAACTTAATGTATCTCTAGGAGAAAGGGGAAAGGTTGTTAGTGATAATTAGGTTTCTTTGAAAGGAAGAGGGATTGTTTTTTTAGGAGAGCACATTGTTGACATTTTCACAGTAACGAGTGAACTTGATGGGTTTCGGGTTCTGCAATTTCAGGCTAGACAGATTCATGCTATATTCAATCTCCTTCCCTCATCAGCTGCTCGTCATCCCACCCCAACCTAATTAAAATTTTTCCCATGATGTTATGTTTCCATCTTGTAAATTATGATCAACACAAATGGATTTTTGTTATTTTGCTTTCTTAATCTGGTTTGATTGGATAGAGGTGAATTCTATTTGCAGATTTTTGTTGATATCCTCTGGGATAATATATGGTTATTATGCAATGGTACTAAAGATTGACGAAGAAGAGTTTGGTGGTCATGCAGCCCTTCTCCAAGAGGGACTTTTTGCTTCTATAACTCTGTTTCTGGTAGGCAGCATCTCTTTGCTATTCTCCTCCCACCAAGAAGCTCTCTTTTTAATTTAATTTTGAAAGTGAATATCCTTAACCGTAATGCTCTTGTATGATTTTCAGCTGGCCTGGATTCTAGTATACAGCTTGGCGCACTTTTGACTTGCTTGGTACAGCTACCCTGCTGCTTCCAAGCGCATTAATCTGTTATAGGATGCTCCATTGATTGCCTTGAAAATAATGAGAAAGTTTTGCAGGCCATCACTATTTGCTTTATTAATTCTGTCTCTCCAACATTTGGATTGGTAGTCCATGGATGTTAGGTTTTGGATTATAGGAAATAGATATTTGATGTCAATGTTCCTTCATAAACATTCCAACCAATGTAGCAATTTGTGGTAATCCACTCTTGAAGATAATTATACTCATGTTTTTATAGTCCCAAAGCAATTTTTGCGTGCAAGCAAATTTTGTTGGACTTTTCTGTTTTTGGTGACTGGATATTTGTATAGTTTAGATTCTTTGTACCCATGCTTCAGAGCTCCATGTTTCAATTTCATATTTTTTCTCTACAAAATTTTTGACGGAGTCAAAGTTGTACTGTTCTTCAGTGTGTTAATTATTTTGGATTTGTCATCAAAGTAACCCTCGAAACATTAATAGATCTTGCATCATTCAGTTGTATATAATTTAGCCTTTTTACAGAACTTAGCCCTCATTTTTTTCCTTAAGAAGTCACTTGATGTATTTAGTTATCCCCTCATTTGTATTGTCATGTGACTATCCGAGCATATGTCTAATATGTCGTAATTCAATTGAGAGTTTTGGATTTGTAGTGTCTTAAAATGACTTTTTATTACTCGAGGCAGCAAGGTAATTTGGAATTTGGTCCTACTAAGAATGGTATTCAAAGATCAAGAGTTTAATATGGTGATAATTCATAATTAGGAAAATATAGTGCAAATTGAAGCTTAAGTTTTCTCTTCATATCAAGCAATAGGAGCTGAACATATACTGATTTGCAACAGAAGATCATTGTCAACATCTTAGCAGTTTATTCAGATCACAAAAATCTCTTTTCTTGGTCAGAATTTAACCCCAGAACAAGAAGTTGCAAAACAAAAGCAAGTTAACTCTTATATGGAGTAAAGAATTGGCACTGTATTACCCCTCACCTAAAGGTTATATGAACAAGCAGGGACCTACTATCTCTAACGCCAATTTCTGCCTCTTCGTGACACAAGATAAATTCGGCCATAAACCCATTGTCTGCCTAATCTTGAGATTGATTGCTGCATAACAACACATAAGAAAATAGTTAAGATTTCTACTTTATGACTTATGATCTTAACACCAACTACCAAAAAGCTTTCAACCTTTCCCATCTCTTCCTATTTCTTTCCCTAAACATAAGATGTAGGATGGGAATAAGGTTGATCAAGGTCAATAGACAAAAAGTTCCTCAAAAGAAAAATTCCTGAATTAGCCGTTTGCATGGAAGCTCTAGACTATCATACGAGAGCGAATTACCTCAACCTTGGTGCGGAATTCCAAAGTGCATTCACATACATGGCAATCTGCTCTATGTGGAGAGATAATAGATTTATCTGATTTCACAAATGCAAATACCTGCATATAAATATTAGCTTCTTCAACATTTAAGAGATGGGTAAAATGGTACTTGGATATATTGAATAGGAAAGAGAAACAAAAAAAGAAGCTTCAGAAGGTAAACTGACCTCCTCTGAGCAATTTGGGCACGGTCCCTTCAGCGCTACTAAGTCACTCCTCCAGAGTCCTTGAAGTACTCTCACTGCAAAACAGATACATGTTTATAGTATTTGGAACACAAAAACCAATATATTTATAACCAGGTTGCCAAATAAAAAATCTAATTTTCATTTTGTTTGTTTAACTTGAAAGACATAAAAAATTCCACCAGAATCAACAGAAAAAAGAGTGTAGCTATATCTAACTTCAAAGATATAAAGCATAAAATCTTTTCGGGTAATCACTTAATCAGACTCCTTGTTATATGTAGCATGGCAGTAAGTTTGTAACTGTTACCAGCAGCTGATGCAACTGGATAGCCAATCACGGACCCCAGTGCCATTAAGAGAACTCCATTCACTGTGGAAAGAAATCCTAGAGAAGAAGCTTGAGTTGTGTAGGAGATTGTTGAGAACGAATCTTGATACGCTAGACTGAAAGTGTAGATTGCAGGCAGAAGACATGCTGAACTGCCAAATGCAAAAATCAGGATCCATATACTTGCTAAGGCAAATACCTGCGAAAGATCTTCCTGCCCTACATCCACGCCAACTTAATATTCAAGCGGAGAGGAAAGAATTAAAAAAAGAAAAAAAAAAAAGAACCGTTCTCCTCTATGGTTTAGAATAAAGCAACTGGACAAATTAACACTTAAGAATCTACTAATTAAGTGGGATCAAGGTCAATTCCAGCCTAGCTCGAAAACAGTCTTTAAGTACACAACAGAATCCACCCATTGCAGTTGTTTTTATAAGTGAGGTAGAGAAGAATATAATTATTTTAGTGTAACTGTAAGAAAAAATAAATAGAATAAACTATATTTCTATCCTCAATTTGTTTAAGTTCAAATTAGATTAATTAAAGAATGTTATATTTATTAGAAATAGCATTTATATGGGGTAATTGTCCAAATCAAAAAGACACATATTATACACTGCTTACAGTATAGAGGTGTTAGTAACTTTCCCTATTCTTCCCTTCCTTTTTATCCTCCAGATATTTTGAGAAACATGTAAATGAAACATTACATGTATCATGCAACTTTGGAAAAATAGTTAACAAGAACTTCAATTCGGTAAAAAGAACAGAGAACTTCCCAAGATGGATATATAAATAAACACAATCAAAATTTGTCCAAACAGAAATTAATTACCTCTGCATCTGAATAGGTTGATTGTCCTCTAAGACTGCAACGAGGGTACTTGACAACAGATTTGGAACCATACCACCGTAGTTTTAACTATTCCAACCATTAAAAAGAAATCATTTTAATTCGAAAACCAGTTTAAAAACATAAAGTTTAGACAACAATTTAGGGTTAATGCACTCACCTCTACTCGGTCAAACATGTCGTCTACAATCAGAGGTGTGCCACTGTAATAAGCATCCCTGGCCTATACCCACAACAAAAAACCCAACAAGTTTCAATTACACTACTCAAAATCACAAATTCAAACACATATTTTTGAGAGAATTGGGAAAATGTTTGAAAATCAAAAGAAGAAGAAAGCTTCAAGCGTTACTTGGCGATAAAGAGCTTCAAGAGTTTCTTTGCTGGCAGTCTCAATTGGGCCAACGTAGATACAAGAAGGACCCTCCTCGTTGCAGATGGATGCCGATACAACGCCTCCTCCTCCACTGCAGCTCCTCGTGGAGACCCGGACCAAAAACGGAGCTCCGGTCCGGTTAGGATGTCTGGGAAGTTCAACGACCGCCGAGGATCCGATCACGTGAGGCCCGATGGAGTTGCACGTGGCCCCCATGAACACAGAAGGCAGAGCTGCTCTGCTACTCGGCAAAAGCAAACATGAGAGGAAGAAATGTTGAAGAGACGTCTCCGCCACAAACTATACTCGCTACTGAATCTTTGTGAGCTTATGCGGCGATAATTTTACGAGAATGCCCTTTTGTGAATCTGAAATTCTGGTTCGTTTCGGCGCGTAAAGATCTGGTTGGTTGACGGCCCCACGCTGATATTTTCCCAAATGTGATTGGTCCTGGATTGTGAGTAAGCCACGACGTCGTTTTAAGTGAAGTTGGAAAAAGACGAAAATGCGTTTGCCGGGAGTCGAACCCGGGTCTATTGCTTGGAAGGCAATTATCCTAACCGTTGGACTACAAACGCCTCTTGATGTGACTGGTCACAAGCAAGTATACGTATTATTTCTTTTTATATTTGTTTGTTTATTATGATCAGGTGGTTTTGCCTATGTATGCTCACTATGCACACATACTTGTTATCTTCATTATCTGTTCTGGTTTTTTTTGGTTGACAATTCAATTTTTTACCAAAACATTAGTGTTCTAACAGTATGTATATATATATATATATATTTGAAAAGGGTCTAATGATCATTTTATAAACAGAACACTTGCAAACACTAATTTATTTCTCTGCAACACATTAATTTTGTTAACGTGAAAAACGAAAGAAAAATTAAAATAAGGTATAATTTACAGAATGGTAAACGAAAATAATGTAAAGAGAAAACAAAGAAGAAAAAATGAAACGAAAAGAAACTGAATTCCTACAAAGCTGAGATAACTGGGATTTCCATCATGTTACAGAATCTCTTCTACTCGAAGAAAAAGAAAAAAGAAAAAAGAAAAATCCTCCCTAATAAACTTTATGTTCTTGCAAAGAAAGAATCCCATTCATGTTTTTCCACATTTCCAAATAAGTTATACTTCCAAGAAAATTCTTCTGGAAAATCATTAGGATCCTCCCCGTTATTCATCTTACTCCTAAGCTTCTCAACTCTATCAAGAACACCCTTCATTGTTATATCAAATGCATCTTCAATTGTCTCCATTCTTGATCTTGGATCAGCATATATCACCTTCGGGATCAGCCTTATGACTTCTTCTCTCATTGCTACAATTTTCCCTTTCGGAATCTGGTGCAGGACTTTCTCAATGCTTGCTTTCCCTTCCTTCACTATATTTGCTGGTATAAAAACAGAATACTTGGAGTAATCCTTTGGTAGATGCCATATGTATTGCGCGTAGGCTGAACCCGGATGGAAGAAAACCGGAATGCAGCCTGCCAGGATAGAATCAAAAGTTGATCTTCTTGTGTAGGAATCTCCAGGAGGCTGTAGGCAAAATGTTGAGGCTTGAAAGAATTTCATAATCTGGTCTGCTTTATAACACTTTTGTGATCCTGAAACACATTCAAGCAGCCTGCATTTCCTACGAGAGGCACGACATTGATCAATGATTTCTTGGCGGATAGAGTCACTTAAGTTAGGCCTCGGAGCTCCAACAAACGAGAAAAGATACCGCCTTTTCTGTCTTCTCATTCGGGCTTGCCATTGGAAGACATCATTATCCTTTGATGGGTGAAAATATGTAGGGTAAGGTATCCCAAAGCCATGATAATTCCATGGACTAGACTCAATCAAAAGCATTGTCATGTTTCTTGGTTCTGGTAAGATCATAAGCCGGTTTCCCCAATCTGATTCGTTCTCCGGAGTCCTCATGAAATCCCAGGTAGTCCTTCCTGCAATCATAAAATGGTCTCTCCCCCACATTGTTTTCCACTCTGGTTTCTCCCTAACCCACTTCATGAGATCAAGAGCAGCGGCATCTCTCATGTAAGGGAAAGGTCCCCAGAGAAACCTGGCTACATCAAGGCCTGCGTAGTAAGGTATGAATATGGCGGATGCCATGGAGGAATCTTTTGTTAAGCACTTATATTGCTTCATTCTGTTATGGAAGATGACTTCGAGAGTGAATTGATTCGTCGAAAACCAACCAGGAACTCTTTCTAAATCCGGAATATGAGGACCTAACCCGAGATTAGATGTTAATTCACACATATTAGTCCACCAACTAAGTGACCAACAATTCTTGAGAAGCTCTTCATTGAACATGCTTGGAATTTCATGAACATAAATATATTTTCCTGCACATGGATCGGAAGATTCAGAATCAAATACCCTTTTCTCTGTTTTCTCTTTAATGGGTTTTTTCCAAACACTTGTCCCCTCAGATTCTCGTTTCCTTGGAACTTTTCTGCTTCTTCTCGCTGTAACTTCTTTTTTAGCTTCAGTATTTACAAATCCTCCATCTTTCCTCCTGGCTGAAACTCGAGTTTTATTCTTCGCTGCCCTTTCATTCTCTGAAACAATTATTTGATTACCATTTTCAAGCCCACCATTTTTAACATCCTCTTCTTTCCTTGCTTCTCTATCAAGCTCTTCAACAATTTCATGTATAATCTTATCATCCTCTGTTTTATCCCCTGTTGTTTCTTCTATTATTGCACCCTTATCATCCTCTGTTTTCTTCTTTTCCCCTCTTTCTTTCCCACCAAGGTCATTTTCATTGACAGTTTCCTTCACAAACCTTGACCCAGATACATCAATGGCGGTCGTGAAATCGTCTCCTTCGCTATTGTTAACTAACAAAGAAGAATTATACAGACAAAGCAAGAAGATCCACAAGAGAAAAGATGCTAAAGCGAGATACCAGAATTGGGTTCTATACTTCGTCGTAATCGCTTTCTCCATCGTCATTCCCTTTCGATGTCTTCTCATGCATGAAACCCAAAATCAAACTTTTTCTACCAATATTCGATTATGGGTTTAGATAAAAACTGAGTTTGGGTGTTGAGGAAAATGCATGAAAAGCTCTTTTCCCTTCTTTGAAAGTTCTCTGTGCTGCAACCTTATATGGAAGATGACGATAGAAACTTCAAGCTTAGTGTTAGGCAATTCAGAAAAGAGAGAGAGAGAGAGAGAGAAAGGAAGATGTTGAAGGATTCAAGGTTTCGTTACAGGAAAATGCAATTAAGGAAATTCTTACACGTTAATGGTTTATTTGTTTTGTAATTTGCATGATTCATGTAAATTAGTTAATAACAGAAGTTGAGGTTTAATCACAACCGTTGGATCAGAGAGTTTTGTTTAAATAATTTGAGGGTCTCTCAAAAAAGATCTTGGGGGTCTGTAGTTAATGAAAAAAAAAAATTATA